AACTCGGGATGCACTTTGTTGGTTTTCTCCATCTTTTCCAGTGTCCCCACTGCCACCCAATGGGGTGCAGAGATGGGTGGGAGTACTAGCATTTCACCCACCTCCGATGGCCCCACAGTGGACCGAGGAAGAAAGGGTTATTTCGAGCATTGCCTGCTGCAGAGGCGAGTGGGTCATTTTGTGTGTGTGTGTGGCGGGGGGATGTTAGCAACCAGGCTGGGTAGGTACTGACCTGCTCCAGGCCAAGCCCAGGTTCCTGGGGCCCCTGCTGGCCCATGAGGAGGCCCGGCAGGATCCCGCCAAGGGGTTAGGGCAGAGGGTCTGGGTACTTGGGGGTGGCCCCACATTGCCTAATGGCAGGGAGATACCCTGTGTCCCCCAAAATAAGACAGTGTCTTATATTAATTTTTTTCTCCCAAAGTTGCGCTAGGTCTTATTTTCAGGGGATGTCTTATCTTTCCATGCACTAGGTCTTATTTTTGGGGAAACACGGTAGATATTGAACGTCCGAAAGGCTGTCCCAACTGGTGCTGCCTGACCTTGAGCCCCGCTGCACCTGCCTCCAGGCTGCCTCGTCCTCCTTTGGGGTGTCGCTGCCTTGGGCCTTTCTGGGTGCACACGGGAGATGCTGGCTTGGACCAAAGGGGTTTCTCTACCTCATTTCTGCCACTCCCCACTCTCCCGCCATCCTGCCCCCCCCTCCCCCCCCGTGCCTCTCACCCAGCCGGACCCCAGCTCCAGTCACACTTTCCTTGCCTTCAACCCCACCAATGGGAAGCGGAAGTGACAGAGGCATGAGGGGCAAGACTGCAAGTTGTGTATCAACAGGAAACCCTGTCCTCCTGGGCGGGTGTCTCACCCGGTCAGCCTGGGAGGGGCCGGGGGTGAGAGGATACCTACAGTGAGCAGTTCCCCATTTCTTGTTTGTTTGTTGTGGTCCTGCTGGCTTCTGCCCAGACTTCATGCCCCGCCTCCCTTGGGGGCTGGGTCCCACAGAAGCGCTCCCTTCCCACTTCCTCCTCCTCCACTGGCGGCAGGACTGTTTTCAAATGAAGCCCCATGTGTGAAAGGGATGAGTGGAAGCGGAGGAAACTGGGATGTTGCTTCCACCACAGGCTTTCCCTGAACTCTGCCCCATCATCTTAATCCCCCCCTTTTATCGGGGTGGGCGGCTCCGACGCTGCAGCCCCCTTTGTGAGCTTCGCCTAGGTCCCGAGCACCAGATTCGTCGCTAGTCTAGCGACACAATTTTTTTAAAAAGTATATATTTTATTGATATTTTTACAGAGAGGAAGGGTGAGGGATAGAGAGCTAGAAACATCGATGAGAGAGAAACATTGACCAGCTGCCTCCTGCACACCCCACTAGGGATGTGCCCGCAACCAACGTGTATGCCCTTGACCGGAATCGAACCTGGGACCTTTCAGTCTGCAGGCCTACACTCTATCCACTTAGACAAACAGGTTTGGACTGGTGACACTCTTAAGAAGATGTGGACAGGCAGGAGAATGGAGCTGTTAGAGGACTAGGGTTCGGGGATCAGACCATCTGGGTGGAACCCTCCCAGCCAACACTCAGTGCTGTGCGCTAGGGACTCCCGGTCTAGGGTGACTTCCTTCAGCCCCTGCAGCAATCCTGCAGAGACCCCGTCTCTCTATCCCCAAGTTTCCACTGAGGAAACAGCCACAGGGACTCCCCTGTGAGGGAACCTGCAAGGTTATCTGTCGCTCAGGCTCCAGGCCCAGGCACCGCCTCCAGGCCCTGGCCTCCGGTGGGGCTCCTCTCCGGACATGCGCTCCCCAGTCCCCTCCTTGCGTGTGGAAAGTGGAGACGTTATTGCTTCCAGAGAGTTTCCTTTCAGCCTTAAATGAGGACCTTGTTGACAACGGTGCCTGCCACTTAGTAAGCGCTCAGTAAACTTGAGCTGGGGGGGGGGGGGGGGCGGGGAAGCCAGGCCTCATCCTGGCAGCAATTTGGTTTGTGTTCCTTACTCATTGATCTGCCTGTCCATCTGTCTGTCTGTCCTCTATTTTTGCTCCAAGAAGTCATTCCTTTTCTGTTTCCGGGCAAGGGTGGGTGGGAGGGGTGGAAGGAGGATTTTGGATGCCAGGCCGCTGTGCCTGAGAGGAGCGGGCATCCTGGCATGGGGGTTTCCATCTCTTTGCCTCTAGGCAACCACAACCCACAGGCCCCTTCATTCAACCACAACCTCCTGCCTCCCTCTTCCCTGTGCTCGCCAAGCTGAACTGGCAGGGGGCGGGGCGAGCTTCATGCCTGGACTTCATGCTGGACTCCCAATTTTTGGAGTAGGAGGTGCTCCTGAGAGAGCGGCCCCCGTGGGAAGAAATCGTGTCCGAGCTCTGGGTGGCCTTCTCTGTCTGACACAGCGCAGGCTTTCGTAAAGACTAGGAATTCCCAGGGTCCCTGTTCTCCATCAGCTGCTCTTGGGGGAAGCCACTGCCCCATTCCCCCTGGAGGCGGTGCTTCCAGTCAGAGGGGTGGAAAATCCCTCTTTCTCTAGAGTTTTCCGAAGCACCCTTTTCTTGTAAGCCAAGTGCTGGCAGAATAAACACCGAGTATAGAAATAGAAGGTGGATTTTGCATATGACTCAGCCCCGGTCTGTTCCCTGGTGGCTAGGCCAGCTCTGCCCTCTCCTCACCCCTCCCTCTCTCTCTGGGTTAAGCTCGTGGGTTACCAGCCCGAGGGGCTGGGGCTGGCAGGTTCTCAACTGTGGGATTCTCTGAGGGCCCTGGGACAGCCTGCTTCCTGCTACTGTGCCCTGGATGGGAACTCCCTGCCGCCACTTCTGGGCTTCTAGCCATCCAGGTCACCTTCGTAGCAGTGATTATTAATAAAAATATTTTAAAAAAAAACCACATACACACACACACACATATATTTTTATTGATTTCAAGAGGAATGGAGAGGGAGAGAGAGATAGAGTGATGAGAACCACTGATCGCCTGCCTCCTACACACCCCACACTGGGGATCAAGCCCACAACCCAGGCATGTGCCCTGACCCAGAATCGAACCACAACCTCTTGGTTCATAGGTCACTGCTCAACCACTGAGCCACACCAGCTGGGCAAAGCCCAGTGCATTTATACATAATTTTCGAAATGTATGTGTGCTGTGCGTGTTTAAAAACCAGGGTGCTGATTTCAGCACCGAGGGCCTCCTAGAGTAAACAAATGGGGCGGTTTTGACAGATGGATTGGTTGACATTGTGTAAATAAAAATGTGTATTCCCTCCTTTTTCACAGGGGAGCGTGTTACCCACACGGATCTGCATCTTGTGTTTTTTCTCTTTCCTTCATGGGACTTAGAGCTCTTTGTAGCATTGCTCAGAGCACTTCTGCATTCCCTCATTCTTTCTCACAGTTGTGTGGAATCCCGTTGTCTGGATGAAGCACACTTTTTCTGGGGCACCTCCGTGGGGCCCATGGATAGACCAGAATAAGATGGAGTTGTTGTTGTTTTTAAAATATATTTTATTGATTTTTTTTTTTTTACAGAGAGGAAGGGAGAGGGATAGAGAATTAGAAACAACGATGGGAGAGAAACATGGATCAGCTGCCTCCTGCACACCTCCTATTGGGGATGTGCCCGCAACCAAGGTACATGCCCTTGACCGGAGTCGAATCTGAGACCTTTCAGTCCACAGGCCGATGCTCTATCCACTAAGCCAAACCAATTAGGGCAAGACGGGGTTTTGTAAGGGACAGAGGAGCTTACTGACTTGGCCACCCAGGACAAGAGAGGGGAAACTTGAATGATCAGAGAGGGTCGGTGCTGTCCGGATAATTGTGTGATGATACCTAGTGAGGAAGGTCTTGAAGTCAGGAAGCCTGTACTCCCAGGAACTCCCTGGACCTGTCTTGGTTTTAGCTCCCTCACTTGGTTTGTAAGAGCAGTAGGAGAGTCCCGTAAGGTGTCACAAGGAGGAGAAGAGCTGCTGGTGCCTACAGCCCTATTTTTATGGGGGTTTTTTCTGAGCACTTGGACTCTTGGAACTTATCTTGTGAGGGTGTTGATTGACAAGCTATCTGTCCTCCTCTCCTCCCTCCTCCCCCCCAATAGAAGCTGCATGAGAGCCAGGCCTCTCCTGTCCTGTCCACTCCTGTGCGCCAGGGGCCGGAACAATCTCTGGCACATCACAGGCAGTAGCTGTTCGCTGCCTGGATACATAAGTTCTGTCCTCCCTGCCGTGGTCCCCTCCCCACTGCCATAGTCCCTCGAGGATAGGTGGTAGGACCGACCACCCAAACCTTGGCACCAAGTTGCATGTCTCCCATGGATTTGGAGGAGAGACGGGGTGGGGTTATGGGAAGAGATGCTGAGTTTGCAGAAGGTCTGGGTTTGAATCTTAACTTGACCAATGACTAACATAGGAGATCTCTCTGCACCTCAGTTTCTTTATCTGTGTAGGAGGGGTAATCATCGTCCCTCCCTCTAACCAGACTTTATCATTTTTGGTTGAAGAATGCATGGAAAATGCATTTAGGCTGTAAAGTCTGCAAATGTGGGGGCTTGCAAAATTGTGGTCTTTTTCTTCCTTGGTGTTTTGTTTGGATGTTTGTTTCACACGAGGCCAGGGGCCCTGCCTGCCTCTACCAGCTCTATTTCTGGGACCTCCAGTGACTGACTTCCTGAGAAGGCTGTGTTTGTGAGCTAGGGAGTGAACCCCCTATAGGATGTTCATCACCCCAGTTCCCTGAGGACATTGGCAGAGCGGTCTCACCAAGTTCACCCTCTGAGGCCTGGCCTGGGCCCCCGTCCTTGCCCAGCAACCAAATCATGGTGCCAAGTTGCATGGATTTGGAGAAGAGACAAGGTGGAGTTATGGGAAGAGATGTTGAGTTTGCAGAAGGTCTGGGTTTGAATCATAACTCGGCCAAGGCAAGTTCCAAGAGTTCAAGTGCGTGGTGTTGTGTCTGTGATCCAGACAGTGGGAGCTGAATCAGTGAGGCTGCTTGACGGTGTTTCTCTCTCTCCAGGCGGCTGCTGAAGAGTGAACTTGGAGCATTCATTACAGACTATTTCCAGGTAAGTGTGTGGGTCTGAGCATCCATCATTATTGTGCCTGTGGGGACGGATACCCAAAGAGATGGGCCCTACTGTGCACCTGGGCCTTCGTTCAGTATGCTGAGTTCCTGCAGGGCACGGGGCATGGGGCACGGGGCATGGGGTGCGGGGTACATGTGGTTTTGCTCTTATGGAGGTCACCATCTCAGGCTGTGGTTCCTGGGCTCTTGGTCTCAAGATCCCTTTGTGTGCTTAACATTTTATCTTACTTGGATTATCTCTACCTTCATTCCCCATAGAGATTAAACCCAAGAAATGTTACGATATGCTGTAATTCACTTAATCATAAACCTGTTACATGTTGGCGTAAAAAGCACTTTTATGAAAAATAACTTTCAGCTTAAAAAGTGGAAAAGGGGCATTGTTTGGTTATGTTTGCAAATCTCTGCTCCATCTGGCAGAATTCCTAGAGGGGCGTTGGGTCCTCAAATCTTCCCGCTCAGTCTGTTGCAATGTGTAGGGGTGTCTCTGGAGAATCCCACAGGACACGCACGGAGGATATGAGGTAGATAGCAGCCCGGTGTTACTAAGGAAATAGTTTGGACCATGTGGAGAAGGTCGGTACCCCAGGGAACCCCAAACCACACTTTGAAAACTGCTTCTCCAGTGACTTTCCCTCCCCTACTCTCCCCCCATGTGGCAATCTAATTGGGTTAATTATATGGCCCCTTAGCCAAGTTATTTCTTGTGGGGAAGCCTCTTGGTCTGCTCTCTTAAACATAGAGTGGTATCAGATGATGCAATGTTTCTCCTGCCTAAACATGGTTGTTATGGGGCAAAGGAGTCCCAGGTTCCATGAGAGCAGTGATTCTCAACCTTCCCAATGCCTCGACCCTTTAGTACAGTTCCTCATGTGGTGCTGACCCCCAACCATAAAACTATTTTCGTTGCTACTTCATAACTGTAATTTTGCTACTGTTAATGAATCATTATATAAATATCTGTGTTTTCCGATGGTCTTAGTTGACTCCTGATATCGGCTCTCAACGGGTGGGTCACGACCCCTTTCACAGAGGTCACCTAAGACCATCGGAAAACACATTATGATTCCTAGCAGCAAAATTGCAGTTATGAAGTAGCAACGAAAATAGTTTTATGGTTGGGGGTCACCAGAACATGAGGAACTGTATTAAAGGGTCACGGCATTAGGAAGGTTGAGAGCCACTGCTTTAGAGAACGGTTTCTTACTTTCTTTCTTTCTTTCTTTCTCTCTCTCTCTCTCTCTCTTTCTTTCTTTCTTTCTTTCTTTCTTTCTTTCTTTCTTTCTTTCTTTCTTTCTTTCTTTCTTCTTTCCTTCCTTTCTTTTTTTAAAAAATATACTTTTATTGATTTCAGAGAGAAAGGGAGAGGGAGAGAGAGAGAGAGAAGCATCAACGATGAGAGAGAATCATTGATCAGCTGCCTCCCGCACGCCCTCCACTGGGTACCTGAGCCTGCAACCCAGGCATGTGCCCTGATTGGGAATCGAACTGTGATCTTCTGGTTCATGGGTTGATACTCAACCACTGAGCCACAGCTGCTGGGCAGAGAATGGTTACTAATCACTGACACAGCTTCCTTCCTGACTCTACCCAAAGGGACATGAGGAAAGGTTTTGGGGAGGTGTCCTGTGACACCTGAATGGAGTCTGAGTGCCCACCAATTGGCTGAGGGGTCTTGGGAAAGCTGCTTTGCCTTTGTACGCCTCTGTTTCTTCATCTGTAAAATGGGAACAAAAGTATGAGCTACCTTATAAGTCACTGTATGGTTTATATGAAATAACACATGGGAAGTACTCAGCACTTAGTGTATCAGGGGCAACAGAGGGGGGTGGCCTTCAAAGTCAGGCTTCCTGGGTTCAACGCCCACCATAGCCATGTACTAGCTGTGTGACTTTGAGCAAGCTGCTTTACCTCTCTGTGTTTAGTTTCCTGTCCTATAAAAACAGGGGTCATGGGACCTAACCTTATAAGCTGTCGTGAGGATTAAATATAATACATTATTATTTGTAAAGTGCTTAGAACAGGACTAGCACAGAGTAAGAAGTACTACATACTCATTATATTTTTATATATTCACCCGGCTGGCATGGCTCAGTGGTTGAGCATTGACCTATGAACCGGGAGGTCACGGCTTGATTCCTGGTGAGGGCACATGCCCAGTTTTGAGTTCAATCTCCAGTGGGGGTGGGGGAGGGGGCATGCAGGAGGCAGCCGACCAATGGTTCTCTCTCATTATTGATGTTTCTATCTCTCTCTCTCTCTCTCCCTTCATCTTTGGCATCAATAAAAATATATATTGAAGAAAATTTATATATGTATATCCATATTTGTTATTCTAAAGTGTAACCCATCTCTTTTAATGGGAAAGTGACAGAAAACTAGATAACATCTTGGTTTCAGGCTGGTGGTATTCTGTATCTGAGGAGAACAAGCTTCCAAGGCAGTTTAAAGAGCTTTTAGGCTCTCAAGACAACACAGACATCCTTTTGTTTATTTTTTCTAATGATTCAGGAAGCATAAACTTTTATGGGTACTTCAAAAGAACGACAAATGTCAGGCGATTCGCACACACACAGTGGAAAACGGCCACGCTAAATGTGGACCCAGCCAGACCTTCCAGAAGCCTGCGCTCCCGCTGGGTCCAGAAGGCTCGCTGCTGGGAAGAAAGCTCCTGCCCCTAAAGATTAGGAAAGAGATAATTAGTCACAAAAGGCGCCCTTGACGTGAAGGTCGGTGTTGTCCTCACTCCCTCCTCTCGCTGCCTCTAATGATTGATTTTTTTAAATCCCACTGCGGGGAAGTGGGTTTTCGATGCCGGCCCAGCTGCCTTCTCCGTTGACATTTAAAATAGACAGGGTTCGGTGTGGTTTCAACCAAGATTTAAATGTCAGTCGCCTTTTGGCACAGGGGGCCACCCTCAGGACAGGTGGGGCAGGGCATTTGGGTGGGGACTTGTTTATCTGAGGAGGCCCTGAGGTTTGCGGGGTGGTTAAGGCTGCTTATGCGTGCCAGACGCTTCAGGGCTAATAACCACACACGGTTTTCTATGAGAGCTTCATCGGAGGAAGGAGGAGCCGCTGGGTGGATGCTGAGTCGCCCGGGGGTGTGGGGTGGGACCAGGTCTTCATAGTTTCGAATCTGGGGTTTTCCTGAGCTTCAGGTGCTAGACTGGAGAGGAGGCCATCCTAGACACTGTATTTAATTGTAGGTTTGACATCTCAAGGGGTGGGTGCAGAGCCATTTTATTTTTAATCTTTTTTTAAAGAATATATATTTTTTTTCTTATTTTGGAGAGAAAGGGAGAGGGAGAGGGAGATAGAAACATCGATGATGAGAATCATTGATCGGCTGCCTCCTGCATGTCCCCTATTGGGGATCGAGACTGCAACCCAGGCTTGTGCCCTTGACTGGAATTGAACCCCCGTCTGCACCTGCTGGTGGCACTGAGTTTGTTAAAAAGTAAGAGCTTTTCCCAGAGCCCAGGAAGTCCAGCTCCTGGTGGTTGGAGCTGGTTTTGCTTGATACAGAAACTCAGTCTCTTGTCAATGACTCTGCCCAAGGCAGCACTTAGGAGAAGGATAGATCACGGGCCTCCTAGCGTTTGATGTAAATATTTTCATTTGGGACTCCTGTCTGAGAAAACATGCTTCCCCTTAGCTCATTATGACCAGAGAAGATTCCCGATGCGATGGCACCCTCTGGGATGCCAGAAGAGGAGACCCCACGTCCTGGTCCCCATGGAGTTTGAAAGTGAAGACGGTGCAGCGATAGATAGGGCTGCATCCACATAGGCAACACGCAGTTGTGTTAACCGAGCACCTGGATGGGCGGTGAAAGCCTCGAAACAGGCTCAGAATGAATATATTTTGCAGGGACAGAAATGGGACTTGGGGAGGATTCCATGGGAAGTTGGAGAGAGAGAGGATAAAGAGTTGGGGAAAAGTTTTTTTTCGATGCTCAACCACTGAGCCACGCCAGTCGGGCCAGCTCTTCTTTAGTCAGTCTGGGAAGGTTTCCAAATTGAGTGGAATTCCCAAAATGGGAAAAGAGCTAGTTAGGTGGATAGAGGGTAGTCAGGGGCAGCTCACCTGTACTCTGCGTTGAAGGTATAAAGTCGGGGCCAGAACTGGAGCTGGGCTTCAGTGAGGAGACAAGCAAGGGAGAGAATGGTGGCTTTAGGTGCGAAGGTCATTAGAGGTCACATTTTGGATTTGGCCCGTATCTGGAGGAAAGACATTGTGGAGCTTGTAAATACTGGGATGGCCACTGTGAGGGGAGAAAATGGGGTGGTGCCCCCCGATGGCTGTGAAGAGGAGCCTGGATGTTTCAGGCCACTGTTGGGAGGCGGGGAGGGGAGGGGAGAAGGCTGCCTGCCAGCCAGCGGTTACCGTTCAGCTACTGTATTCTATGTACTCTCCCTGGGCGCTACAATGATCGGAATATTTTTATTGTACTCTTCTCAAATTTTATGAAGAAAAATGGAAAAACAAATCTTGAAATTGATAACCACCGGGCTCGATCTAATTGAGATAAAGGTGAAAATCAATCGGCATGCTGAAACGGCAGATCTTCAGCCTCGTTGGACTTAGGTTATTGCCCATTCGATGGTTAAAGAGAGAGCATGTGGGCGCAGCATGCAGAGAATAATACATCACCCGGAGATGAGCTGCGAATACAAGGTTAATTGGGGGTTTTATAGCCCTTTTCAGCTTTATGGGCACAGAACGCCTCCTGCTATTCGGTGAGCGGCTCGTTCCACATGAGCGCTTGTTTTCAGGAAGCCGTTACGTGTGAGATTGGGTGACTTCCTATAGACGAGGCAAGGCATCCAGGAGCCGGCTCTAGGGCACACGGAGGTGGGGGTAGGGCTGGGGTGGGAGGCAGGGATAGACCCTGGAAACGGAGTGTTCAAATAAGAGGGGACATTGAGCACCCCAGCGGCTGTGAGAAGTAAAGACTAAGCAAGAAGAGCTGAGAAAT